TTGTGATATTCATCATTCTTCTAAATAGAAAATAGGTCATAGAGGAAATCATAATGGAAATTAAAAAGTATTTTTTGATGATAGCTAAACATTGTAACATAACCAAATCCAGACCTAACAGACCTGTGGCATCTCATGTGTTTATTATAAAAGAGAAAGACTGACAATCAATATATTAAAAGGAATCTGAATCAAAATACCAGAAATAATTCAAAGTAAAATTTAAAAGAAAAATAAAATAATGTAGAGTAGGGCATAATGTAATGAAACTAAAACTAAGCCTAAGTAAATCATTTAAAATATTGTTATTTTCGAGTGACAAAACGATACCTTTGTTGGAAGGCTGATCATGCTTAGTGGGTAGAAGACACATATAGCTGAAATGAGGATGACAGTGGGCCATTAGCAACAGATTCTGCCAAAAAGAAAACACATTATGAATTATATTTTATTAATGAAATAAAAACTTAGCTTTAAAGAAAAGGTGAATAAAAACTTAGCTTTAAGAAAAGGTGAAATAGAAAATATATAAAATCTTACAACTCTTATATATTAATTCAATTATAAAATAATTCAACTCCTTACCCTTGTAATATCAAAAATATACAAATATGGGGTATTTAATGATTCATGATATAAATAATAATTTAACTATAAAACAATTATATTAATACAATGACAGCAATATGAAAAATATTTGCCACTAAAGAAATTACAGGCCTATATGATTTGCCCTGCAAACTCTAATAATGCTAAAGGAAAAGCAACACATCTATCTTATCAACTCTTGCAGAGTATCAGCAAAACAGAAAATATGTCACAATTCATTTTATGATGCTAACATAACCTTTTTACCAGTAACTGAGATGACAGTGCAGGAAAAATTATAAGTAACTAATTCAAGAACACAGTGGAAATATTAAGCAAAATGTTATGAAACCGATTAAACATACATTATAGCTTCCTTGGTTTAAATCCGACTCAGTTTGACACTAGAAAATCAAATACTGTAATTCATCTCAAATGCTGAATAGGAAAATATATGTCACAATAAATGCAGAAAAAGATTTTGAGTAACTGCAATATGTATTAATACAGAAAATGCTCTTAGCAAATCAGTAGTAAGAGTGAAACTTCCACAATATGAAAATACTTACCTCCAATAGCAAATATATTAATCAGGAAATTTAAGTTTTCCCTCAGATCAGGAATGAAACAAAGATGCACACCAATGTCATTTCTATTTGACTATGAGCTAAATGCTTTGGCCATTGACTGAAAGGTTTAACAGCATATTCATTATCATTTTATCTCATATACACATATAATAGCATTTAGTTGTCACTAAGTTTTGGTTTATATAGATAACTTGTCCATTTCCCTTTTTTCTGCACTGGCTTCTTAAACATGTTTTGAGATACATCTATGTTGCATTGTAGCCATATTTCACTTTGTTCCATTGCTAGAAAATATTGCTGTATTATACTCCAGTTTATTTTCCATCCTACTGCTGATAGTCATTGAGTCATTCATAGCTTGAGGTATATTCATAAACAAATTTGTCATAAACATTTCTAACACCCTGTTGTACCTGCTCAAAGACTAAAGATTATTCGGAGTACCTATCTGGAATTCACGGGTCATACCATACATGGATCATCAACATTGCTGAACTGTTTGCCAAAGTCACTGAGCCATTGTCTACTCTTTATAGCAAAGCAGAAGACTTTCATTTCTACATGGCATAACTAATAACATTTGCTATAATCAATTAAAAAATACCAGTCTTGAATTAATCTAATATGTATATATATACACATTCATATTTAGAAACATTTTCCCTTATGATTTTTGTTTTTCAACTTGTTTAAAAACTCTTTTCAACTCCAAAGAAGTTCATGATATACAACTGCTTAATGTCTTTATATTTTTCTCAAATAAGTATGGAATTAAACTGTGGAAATGATATGGTGTAGGAATTCAATTTTATTTTTATATTGATATGACAATATGGTATCTCAATTTATTAAAGTATCCGTTCTTTCCTTATTTATCTACCACAACATATCTCATATATCAAGGGTTCATATAAGTATAGATCTATTTTGTGGCTCTCTTTTCTATTCTAACATCCGTTTTCCAAATGCTTGTGCCAATTCCACATTTTTCTTAATCACTTTAGCTATATAAAAAGTTACAACATCTTATAGATGATCTCTTTCCACCTTATTTTTCTTCAGAAATACTCTGCCTAATGGACTATTTTTGCATTTATATACATAAAATATATGAATACATTTGTCAAGTTCAACAAAAATATTTTATGACTGGAATTATACTGCATATACATAAAAATTTGTGGAGACGTAATATCTTTATAAGGTAGGATTGCCAAGAACTCTAAAGGGTCTGAAATTTTATTTTACGTGTCAGCTCTCCAGTTTGCCTGACACAGTTTTAAGAATGCTGGCGTGGGTAATACATAATTTATACTGGGCAAAGGTTAGCCCGTCTAACTCTTGCCTGAGAAGGGGACATTATCTTTATTATATAGAATGATAAATTTTACATTTGATGTTTATTGTATTAATATAATAACAAATAGCTTTAAAAATAGTTGGAGAAAATGGAGTTTATGATTCTGAATGAATAACATGCAGAAACATGAGAGGGGCATGAGTAGTTTTTTACTAACAGGAATCTTTATCAGCAATCATGGCATATCTTAATGTTTATTTATACGTTAATGTATCTAGATTTGGAAAGAATAAAATCTCTAGGAGAAAGGAAGAATATTTACATATGGAGGGACTTCCAGGAAGCTTCTGATTTGTAGGCAATTATCCACATCTTGAGCTTCATGGTATTTACGTGGATATTCTCTTTACAAGTATTCTTTAAAATATGCATACATATTTTGCAAAATTATTATCTGTAATTTTATGAGAAAATATGTAAAAGTATTCTTTTAAAAATAACATAAGCAATACAACCCAGTAGGAGACAGGACCATTATGGATTTGAGTGAACTTAGAGTTTCATTGCATTTATTTATTAGCTTTGTCTAGCTATGGTTTTTCTACACTTCTAGGGAGTATCACTCCAGGAGTTCCAACTAGGAGCCTAAGGTTTGGGGAATTAATTACAAATACTTTTTAAGTATTTTGACTTCTATGACTTATGAAAGAAATAAAAGTACAAATTATGATTCTTATTATTTTAGGTCAGTGGATTTTAGATATGAAGGCCTTCATTATGTTGACAAAGACTTTTAGCCACTGTGTTTTCGAGAAAAAACATATACATAGAAATGTACATAAATACACTGTATTACCTATAATTTCAAAAAATTCATAGGTCTACATAAGAACATTCCCAGATCAGCCATGAACTTAGTTAAGAACCAGTTCTTTCTTCAGGGTTTTCAGCCTAGTTGAGGATACAGGACACGTTTTTAAGCAATTAACAAGACTAATGACAACATGAAGAACGTTCAAATGGCCAGATGAAAAGCATAGCCAGTAACGACTACAGTAGTACACAAGAATAAAAAGAAAAATCTTGGACATTGATGAAGAGTTGATGGAGAAGATAAGATCCGAAGGATAAATAAGACAAAAGTGTAGAGAATGAAAAGGGCTTTTATGTAAAATGAACAGATAATGAAAAGGCAGAAAAACAAAATAAATGCTGTTTATTTTTGGCAAAGGTGATATAGGGTGAGTTGGGTCAATACTTATGTATCCAATAATGTGACAGCACTAATTGTATAGACATAAGAGCAACTAGAGAAAATATTCAACGTGCTCAAGACACTGTGCTTAAAACGAAGTCACATCTTTAGTGAAAAAATGTCAAAATTAAATCTTAAAACTATGTAACTATAAAGAGAAGTAAATAAATGTAGGAAAGATTAACAAGGAGGCAAAACGTTTCTGTCTATGAGGATTTAAAAGTTGTTTAATGATGTTGAAGTATAATGCGTGGTTCAAACTGAAAGTAGCTCAGTAGCAAGGAAGACCAGGATGCCACAGAGTTACCTTTACATCAATTGTCATGTTTAGATTTTTTTATGAAAAATGAAGACATAGGTAGAGAGAAACAAACACCATGGTGCTGACCTCAGAAGAGAAAGAAATAGCTTTGAGTAAGATGCACTGAATTCTTACATGTTTATTTGCATTACACCAAAACATTATTCAGAAAAAGTTTGCAATGACCTAGAAATGCATACTACTATATTTGCTAGGATTTTCAAAAGCAAAAACAAGGAAACAGAAAATCAGAAAATTGAAATGAAGAAAAATAAGGTTAAAATATATTTTGATAGAGTTCAAAATTTAAATCATAAATTTCTACAGGCCAACAAATTGTAAGAAGTTAATGTAGCTGTGGTTTTTCAAGATGTCAAAGAAATAAATATTAGTAAATTAAGACACATTGTCCCTAAAATACAAAAAGTTTTAAAGTAACCATGCCAATTTTTGGAATTAAACGCCGAAAGACATAGTTCTTACATGTTATTTAAACAATATATTATGACACATAGTAACTATGAAGGACATTAATAAAATTTTTTGAAATTGCTTATATCTACGTTTTTAATGGCAAACTATAGTTTGGTAAAAAGTCTATGGAGAAAAAAATTATGAGAATATCTACACTGATGTAGAATTTAAGGTACAAATTTTATAAATCTATCACTGTTATAAAATATGAGTTGATATTTTTATATACATGGTGTTGTTTTAACTGTCCTTTAAAATTTATATCAAATTTATGCTTAAAGGTGGAAGATATTTTAAGACTACACTGTTAACAAATACATATCTAAATGACAAGGCGTCTATCAAATTGAATGGATTATTTAACATTTTCATTTTCTTATTGATTTGTTTATTCTTTCTTAATAGTAGATATACTATGTTGCCAATTATTAGATTAACAATACTGAAATCGGTCAAACATATTTCACACATACTTTATTATTATACGCACAATAAAATGGTGTCACAACAAGAATTAAGAGAGCATCCAGCAGCTGAAGGAAAAGAACATCCAAAGATCTCATGACCTTTTCTGTGTAAGGATGCTTGCTTCGGGGACCATGGGATATACACATGGCTTCTACTCTCCTTTTACTGTAGTCATAAAGAGCAACTGAAGCTCATAAAAAGTAGCTGGCAGATTTGTAAAAGATATAGCAGCTTGTTCACAGAGTTTCTATAGAGCCATCTAAGGAAAATTTCCCTTCCAAAGCATTGCTAGGAGCTATTTATCTTAGAACTGCCTACTTTGTCACAGTGAACTGAGTATTCCTCCTGTCATCTAGTTTGCCAAACAAGGACCTGTTCTCTTTGACTTTTTCCGCAATAACAGTCAACACTGTATACATGAAGCATGAGAATTCAATACTTATAGAGTAATGGATCTGTCCTGAGGTGAAGGTCAATTTATGTGTTTGTGTATATACACATTTGCAAGATAATTCATATTGTAAATTTATTACATTAATTTGCACATATTTTATAGCAGTTCTGGACATACAGATGGGCAGAAGATAACCATCCCTTTGTAAAAAAATTAAGAGGTATTTAATTCTCTCTGCTGATAAGCCTGTGTTCTAAAATGTTCACACTATTTAATCTGACCTTTATTTTTAATGAACATAAAGACTAAAGTAGCATTATAATGTTATCTAGAAACTAATGTATAGTTGTCCAATAACAGCTGATAAAAATTTCACTAAAATTAGCTTATTAAATAAGTTTCCAATAAGTAAATGAACCCTGGGGGATATAAAATGGCAACAATAATTGTCAGGAAATGTTTCCAAAACATTCTAGATTATTTATTTCAACTACAGAATCTGGGAAGGGGGAGTTCATAAAATATGGACAGAATAAGGAAAACTCTAAGTGTGTATTAGAACCAGAGTTCTGAAAGGAAAAGAAGAGAGTCAGAGAAAAGTAGAGGCAGAAAGTGACAGAATCTGATAGCGTTTCCAAAGGCACCCCAGCTAGAAGGAAATGTAATAACTGCCACAATGCCCCAGAAAAATGAAGTTGGGACTTAATATATCTCTTGTAATATGTCACAAGGTACCTAGTCGACATCTACGTAAATGTAGCCCTCATTGGCTGGAATCATAATGACATCTGCATCTGGAACTGGCCACCAGTGTAACACCCACAAAATGCATGACAGATTTCAGACCACATGAAAAGTCTACAGAGTGAGAATATGAAAATCCATCAATGAGGAGAAAAAATGTTATCTCCCACTAAGAACACTTTCCAGAAGCTACACAATTCCAGTTATTGATTCATTCCATTTACTAGAGCCTGTTTATCTTGCTATGCCTAAAAGCAAGGGAAACTGAAATAGTTGCTATTATGTTCTGTAACTCAGCTTAGCCTAGCTTCAGAAGTTTTAATAAAGAATATATATTGAAATATTTTCCGGTAGCTATTCACTTCCAAATACGCAATTTTTGTTTCAGCTCAATCTTCCATTTTAATATCCTATCACACTCCTTCATATAGGTTTAGATATAATTTTAACTTCTTTCTAAGGGACATTGTTTCCTATAATAAAGGTAGTTCAACTATCTGCTAAGTCATTGCTTTCCTATTATAAGCTATTTTGATTACAATCAATCTGTGCAAAACATTAGGATGCTTTAGCAATGATTAAACACCAATGAATACTTTCTTAGTTTTACATGGTGAGCAAAACAAATATGGCCCCATAGTCTCATCTCAGTTTCCATAAGTCACTATCAATTCAGGCAGAAAACAAATTGAAATTTTTGATTTCCCCAAATGGAAGATAAATTAGACAGCAATGTTGAGTTATAATCTCCAAACCCAAAATTTCTGTGTTTTCCACATAAGAAATCCAAACTGAAAGGTGTATAACAGCCCAAGAACTGAATATGAACACCAGCCTCAAGAGCAGAACATTGACTATCAGGACGAAAACTCCAAAATGCACTGGGGAGCCTTGTGGACACAGGAGGTCTTTCAGAGAGTGAGCATCATCATGACAGGATGGGCATGCTAAGACATCTCTGTATGCTATTTTACTCCCTCATTAAGGAGAAATCAAATTCCTTTTCTGACTGAGATTTTCACACAGTTGGGAGAGAATTATAACCAATTTTTGGTGCTCTTTTTAGGAAAAGCTCTGAGCCTCAGTAATATATTATGAACCAGGATAAAATGATTAGATTCATAAATAGTTTTGGAAGGCTAGACAAAGTGATATTTAATAACCCAACTGAGTGGTAGTGGATAACGAAATACTATATCACCATTAAGAAATAGGCCCAATTAAATATCTCTTTTTGTGTACTTAGTAGTAGTAGCAGTGGTAGTAATATTATTAGTGTAATGCTTTATGGCAATCAAAATCAGCATGATAAAATCATTCTTACCATATAGCTTGTCTTTTTATTTGAATTGTTATTTTTAATTTTAAATATCAAGTAAATGAGTTATTTCTGAGGCCTCTCTTCTGTTCCATTTACTTCCTATTTACTGGGAATTACCTCCTATTCAAACACTGCATTTATCATAATAATAAAATGTTTACATAATTATTCATATATTGTTTAAAATCTTTTAATTATACAAATACTATTCAGGACATAGGCATGGGCAAAGAATTCATGACTAAAACACCAAAAACAATTGCAACAACAGTCACAATTAATAAATGGGATCTAATTAAACTAAAGAGCTTCTGCACAGTAAAAGAAACTGTAATCAAAAAGGCCACCTACAGAATGTGAGAAAATTTTGCAATCTATCTATCCGAGGGCTAATATCCAGAATCTGCATGGAACTTAAACAAATTTACAAAACAAATCACAGCCCCATCAAAAAGTGGGTGAAATGTATGAACAGGTACTTCTCAAAAGAAGACATTTATGTGGCCAACAAACATGAAAAAAGCTCATCATCACTTCTCATGAGAAAAATGCAAATTAAAGCCACAATGTTGTGATACCATCTCATGCCTGCTAGAATGGCAATCATTAAAAAGTAAGGAAATAACAGATGCTGGCGAGGATGTGGTGAAAGAGGAAAACCTTTATACTGTTGGTGGGAGTATAAATTAGTTCAACCATTGTAGAAGACAGTGTGGTGATTCCTCAAGGATCTAGGACCAGAAATAACATTTAACCCAGCAATCCCATTAGGGGTATATACTCAAAGGATTATAAAGCATTCTACTATGAAGACACATGCACATGAATGTTTAATGCAGCACTATTCACAATAGCAAAGACTTGGAACCAACCAAATGTCCATCAATGATAGACTGGATACAGAAAATGTGTCACATATATACAATGGAATACTATGCAGCCATAAAAATGATGAGTTCATGTCCTCTGCAGGGACATGAATGAAAGTGGAAACCATTATTCTCAGCAAACACATGAATAGAAATCCAAACACCATATGTTTTCACTCATAAGTGGATGTTGAACAATGAGAACACATGGACACAGGGAAAGGAACATCACACATGGGGGCCTATCAGGTGGTGGGGGGCTAGGAGAGGGATAGCATTAGAGGAAATACCTAATGTTGGTGATGGATTGATGGGTGCAGCAAACCACCATGGTACATGTATACCTATGTAACAAACCTGCACATTCTTAGAGTATAATTTAAAAAATGGAAGTAAACCATTTCCTCAAACATACTTTAATAAATAAGAAAAAAATGAATAGAGAATCCAAGTATCACCTACACATTATTGATAAAATTGATTTTAAGTTTAAAAATTATCTAATGTGAGAAAAAATATGTTCACTAAACTCTGTGTTTGTAAGTTTCAATTAAAAAATTATTTGTAGGGAATATTTACATGGCCCCTTCTCACAGCAATCTAAGAAAACAAAAGAAACAAATTTACCCTATATCCAGAACTCTTGACAAATTATTAAACAATTTTTACCAATTAAGAAATGTAAATACTATTGCTGCCTTACCAGATAACTCAGAGCATCTTTGTCTAAGGAAGTGAAAGTTACAACTCAAACTTTTTTGTATTTAAAGAAAATCTATTTTCATAAAAGTCATAGGTGGGAGAGAGATGTTTCCCCTAATATCTCTGGTTATTACCTTAAGTAAAATCATAACATCTTTTGAAGGTATTAATGTGATATAGAATATTATTTGATTTTGGTAAAATAATTGCTTTAGATATGAAAATGAAAAAAGAACAAATATGTGGCAAAAGATAATCTCATTCACCTGACGTTAGATTCTATTAGCTAAACTTTACTTGCTATATATATATATTTTTTTTACTAGCTACACAGTTCATATCATTTGTTACTATAAAGTGGAAGACTCCAGAGACAGCTTCTTATGAATACTTCCTGAAAGATCTTTGAGGTCAAAAAAGTGATTTAACCTCAGAGATCGGCCTCAAATTCCATAGAGTGCAGGAAAAGAAAAATGTAATTTAATTTCTAGGACATTCAGCAGCTAGGGATTTCAACAGCTATAGGCCAACACATGATTTGTGTTGTAATAACCAGTCATGACAGCCACATATTTTTTGATTTATGTTTAAAAGAGCTTTATACAAAATTTTTTTTAAATATGCTGGGATGCTTGTTAGCTTCTTTTGTGGCAATTGTGTGTGCAAATGCACACACAGAGACACAGACTCACAATGCCTCAGAATTTGAAGGAAAACGATGTCATATGGATGTATAAAGTCAATGAAGTGTGTAGTTAGTAAAATTTAAAAAGTAGAAGGAAATCATAGTTACAGTTACACAATTCTTACTAGTGGTTCAGGTCTTGATATAATCCTTTATTTTCAAGATAAACATCATTTTACAGCCAATGGACATTTTACATTGTACAAATACTTAAGGACCCTCTCTTAATTTATAAAAACTGATCCCTGAGTATTGCTCTGCACATAAGGTACACACTTGAATGCTGTATAAGTAAATTTTTAATTTAATTTCAAATAGTGGAGAGAAAAATGAGTTTGCTTCAATAAATATGTATTTGGTTGTTAGCAACAATAATGCACAGAAATGGTTATGTTTTTATACATTTAAAAAGGAAATAGAAAATACCAATTTCTTCAAAAAATAAACATCTCTCTTTGCTGAGTGCTATGCAATATGTCAATATTCAATTAGCTCTATGTGAGAATCTTAACAATTTTTATTTTACTATTTTTGTGCCCAAGCATTGAGACAAGATTTCTGCTACTAAGTGGCCATGAATGAGACAATGTATAATGATTTACTGAGTTCTGGAGTCTACAAGATTCTCCACAGTGAAATAAGCAAATCAGAAGATAACAAAGGCTTATTCCCAGTTTTTAAGCCACAGAAACAGACGAAGAAAAACATGTTGTCTCAATGGCTCCTGAAATTGGAGCTTTTCTGGCTAAAATTGACAAGCTTTAGGATATTGTTATACAATATCGGTGGATGAGAAGATTCTGAAAATGACTTGAAACTCAAATTCTATTTTGACTGTTAAGAGTCAAATACATATTTAATGGGTTAATGTTGGCAATATTCAAAGGTGTTTTAGCTAACATTCATGTGTAAACAAGAACAAACATTGGCAAAAGTGATAATTACTATATTAGTTGTAAGTTCATGTGGAAACTGCCTTTACTAATTCAGTTAGGGATAGGCTGCGATGTTAGGGGTAAGAAACCTGTGCGATGTGATGTAGAAGTACCATAATATTAGGTACAAAAATACACCAATATTCTTTTTTTTTTTTTTTTTTTTTTTTTTGAGACAGAGTCTGACTCTGTCACCAAGCGCCAGGCTAGAGTGCAGTGGTGCGACCTTGGCTCACTACAACCTCCGCTTCCCGAGTTCAAGCAATTCTCCTGCCTCAGCCTCCTGAGTAGCTGGTACTACAGGCATGCACCACCAAGCCCAGCTAATTTTTTTGTATTTTTAGTAAGAGGGGGTTTCACCATGTTGGCCAGGATGGTCTCAATCTCTTGACCTCGTGATCTGCCCGCCTCAGCCTCCCAAAGTGCTGGGATTACAGGCCGATATTCTTTTTATATAAACAAAACAACAAAACAAAACAGAATGCCAGGGAAGATTTAAAAAAGGATAAGCAAATGATAGGGTACACAAATTCCCAGTTAGATACTATCCTTATGCTTTAACATCTGCCAATGAATACCTTTATTCTGTTTTGTTGTTAAAGTTCAATAACCCTCAACCTAGAGCACACATTAGCAAAACAAACAAACACACAAACAAACAAAAAAACAACCACAAAGTTAAAAACATAAGTAAAGGTCTTCAAGAAATACAAAATTATGAGCACCTCATTAGAATTTATTCCATAGCTACTAACGCTAAAGACTCCAAAAACTTGTGAGACTTAATCTAGTGTACAGTTTTGTTATGTACCTTATTCCTTCATATGCATGGGTTGATCCTCCATGTCCATGGGTTCCACATCAATGGATTCAATCAATATTGGATAGAAAAATATTCATTAAAAAATTGCATCTGTACTGAATAGGAATGGACTTTTTCATCTTGTCATTATTCCCTAAACAATACAGTATAATAACTATGTTCATGGCACTTACATTGTATTAGGTATTATAAGTAATCTAGAGATGATTTAAACTATACAGTCAGTTGTGCATAGGTTATATGCAAATATTACACCCTTTTATTTCAAGAACTTGAGCATCTACAAATGCTGGCATTTGTGAAGCTCCTGGAATATTCTTCCATGAATATTAAGGGATGATGGTACAATGTGACCCAAGCAAGGTACCTAAGGTACTGGATTCACAGGCAATTTTCAACACATGAGAATTAGCTTGTTTCATTTTTAATTTGTGTTCTAGGATAAGGAAAAAATTTTGTATAAGGCATTCTTGCCTCATCAAACTCCTACCTATGGAGATCCTAAGCATGCAGCATCTTCATAAAATCCTGGTGTAATAAAGGTTACTATTCATGTCTTCCTTTCTCATAGCTTATCAATAAGGAACTGTCAAAACTTTTGAGACAGATAACATATAGACACAGTTTTAAAGTGGAGGCAACAAATCTACATAGTAAAGATATCTGCATTATACTACACACACCAAAATAGTATTAGGATATATTTAGGAGTCCTTCCCATCCCAATACACCTTGGTCTGGAGGCTCCTCTGCAATTATCCCATTATGAATTTTGACATGATTCAAGATGTTCAAAATGAAATGTTTGAAAGTACTTTATGCAAAATATTTTAAATACGCATAGTAGGTTCCTTTGTAGCCAATATGAATATGTATAGACCCACATATATGCAATGTATGCATACACACACACATACCCTTACACATATATGCATAATCACATATTGAGAGAGAATTCAAAAATATGAATAGAAAATGATATATCAAAAATGTACATCCTTCTGGCATATTAATCCATGACTCCAATTTATATAGAGTTCACATTATTTCCATCTCTAATTATCTGCTGGAGTTTTTTCTTTTTTAAATTTGTTTATTATACCACTTATTTCAAACTATTCCATTTGATACAGTTTGTCTGTATCTCCACTCAAA